TCAAACAGAACAGAGACGAGTTGACTGCCTTCTTATTTTAACTGAAAAGTCGTACGCACTTCTCGCAAGATGACCTCGACCTGTTGCCATAGTTACATAGTGCAGAAAACAGGTGAAACCGAACACGCTGTGGACATGAGACAGACGCCTTTCTCACCGTTGAAATCTATTGTGCCATTAAATGGAACTTTGAAACTACTATTTTAAGATGGAAAAGTGACATATTGTTCCTTTAATTCATTCATTTAAGGAACGTCACCTGGGCCTCACTTTGGTTTCTGACACATTTTTCTGAGGACAGAAGCACAGAACCGGATTGAACTGTTGCTTCAGTCCCGTCCCCTACATTTTCATTGTAAGCAGAGGAATGAACCGGTGTAGTCCTATCTCCTTTAAATATACTGCGCTGTTTATCTCGTGGAGGTCCAACACAGCTTTTTGTTTGAGCGGAAGTGCAGTCACTCTCTCCTGCTGAGGTCACAGAGGGGTAACAGTGAATGTAACGTAATGTTAAAGTTCATCATCCAGGGTCTTTTAACACTTTCAGGGGTCGTTCAGTCACTCATTTTCTAAACTTATTTAACTTACAATTGGATTGTGGATCAAAATATTGAAATGTTCTCCTTTCAATGGATCACATTCAAAAGGGTCTGCATCCTGAGAACTGGACTCAATGAAACAAACAAACATACCCACAGCCTGACCCTGTTACACAACAGCATGTGTCACCGAGCCTCTCTTCCTCAGAACTGTCCGGGTCCCCACCGGATTCAAAAGGCCAAGACCTTCCAAACACAAAATGACCTCACTTTTTACGCATTAAACCCCCTCAGCCAATCACAGCCTGCTCCCAAACGCTTTTTAACACAACAATCCCAGCAAATCACAGCCAGCTTCCCACACACACACACACACACACATGTGCCAATCGTCAGCAGAGATTTCTGACCAATGAGGGAGTTTCTCTACTTGACTTCACTTCCTCGAGGGGGGGAAGAGAATTTCCAGTTTGAGTTTTTTACACTCTCACTGTGGACACTCTGTTGGGGGGGGATGATTTGAGGGGAGACAGACATGAGACATGGACTGGGAGTTTTGGACTAAGCAGCTGGACCAGGAGGTTCTGGTTGAAAATGGTGAGTTTGAGACTGTAGGAGAGTTGAGTTTGCTCTGATTTCTGTGAGTTTTGTTTGATTTGCTGACACAGATGCAGCTTGAGCAAGATGTTTCTTTTTTATCTAGAACACCTTTTAATGCAGGTACCTGTGTGTGTGTGTGTGTGTGTGTGTGTGTGTGTGTGTGTCTGTGTGTCTGTGTCCTGTTTTTGCTTTAAATCCCTTTTAAGTCAAATTTTGAATGCAGTTTGTCTTTGTTGTGTTTTGCCTCATACCTTTACCTTTTGTTGAGTTAATGCACGTCTGTACTGATTCTCTTTGAGCGTACAGCCGTGTAGGACGGTGTGTTTGATACACCTGAGTGAGTGTGGCTCAATCTTCTACATACTTGTGTGTTTGGGGTCACAGAGGCTGACCGTTCAGCTGAGGACACGCTGCTACACGGAGTCCTACCACTAGTTTTTATTTTGTTGATTGATAATATCGTTCTTGTATCTCCATCTTTGATTATCAGACGCTAATTTAAAGCTCTTTATTTCAGATTTGTACCTGTTAATAATTAAAATACACAAATGAACACATGTATCGCTGGGCTTTTCTGACTCTGTTTTTGCTCTCATGACTAAGGTGCAAAGTCCAGTCACACACAGACTCTCAGGTGCATTTTAACAGACTAAATCCACTCTAAATAGTTTTGTTTTTTTTGATAGCACTGCCTTCAGGATGTAAAATAAATAGTTCTTAAAGAAACTTTCCCTCTCGGAGTGAAAAATAAAAACATCCAAAATCATCCAAAATGTAACCACACAAACGCTGGTAACATTTGACTACAGGTCATACTGCACGTCTTTCTGGAGTTGGTGGATTTTGAAGGTCTAGATTTTTGAAATGTGTTTATCAGAGATGTTGGCGTAACAAATTTAGTCTGGATCCTTTTTTTTTTAAATTGCATCCTCTAACATGCTCTCAACACTGACTGCAGCCTTTGAGTTGACCGTTGCTCAGTAAGATCTGAGCCAAATTGGGGCACAATCCACAAAGAGAATCTATCTTCATCTTCATCCATTTTTAGATCGGCCGGGCTGTAATGAATACTTCTAGCATTAAAAAATCATGGTGATGCCCAACATGTTGGTCATCTAAAAAGGCTCTCCTCTCTTATCGTGCTTTCACACTTTATTACACTAATAATACAAAAATACAAATGTAATTGTCCAGGTGATCTGACTGACTGTGCACTCTCCCTGTAATGAAACTGCTTCATGATGTTTTCTGTCGGCTTGTATGATCTCCCCCGCTCTTTTTTGTTGATATTCTGGATGTCTTAAAGGACAAGAAGCAGGGACATAAAGGCAAAAAAATTGTACTAATAGCGACGCACTCGGTTTGTTTGTCCTGTCATTCTTTTTGCATCGTGTCTCGACCCCCCTCTCGTTGTCTCCTGCTGTCAGGGGCAGACTGCCTGAAATGTTCACGTAATAAATCACTTTTAATTATCAAGTCCCAAAAATCCCGTATCAGTCAAGATTAACCAATTTTCCCCCCCGTAGATTTCAGTCAAACTATGATGGATGGTCATGTGGTCAGACATGTTAGTTCATTAATTCTTTACACGTTCCCTTTCCTGTATCAGACCCCTTCACTGAATCCCAGCATGCATTTCACTCGTAAGACCGTTTGATTCAAAGCAGGCAGGTAAATAACGTGCAACAAATCATTTTGCGTCCTTATGATGACAAAGTGTGCCACAGACTTGTTGCTCACACCTGCCTCGTCTCGCTACACATACAGGTTACATTCCCAGCAGCTCACTCCTCCTGCCTTGTGTGTGTGTGTGTGTGTGTGTGTGTGTGTGTGTGTGTGTGTGTGTATCTGAGCTCAAAGACTACCAACATGTTTTCGTCACACTGGATGCTCCGTAATATTCTAAAGTATTTACACTTCTGCTCAGTAGTTAAGGAAGTGGTGCTACTTAATTTTTTTTATATTTGAAAGACTTCCCTGTTCTCTCCTTATAATAAAAACAATAACTGTGGATGTGTTGAAATGTCCTGTAGTTATGCAATTTCTGCTTGATTCCAACTGTAAAAGATCCTGAGTTAGATTGTCTTCTTTGTTGGTGTCTCAGAGACAGAGAGAGAAAGAGAGACTTTCACACAGGACATTCTTAGAGCTAAGTGAGGTGTAAAACCAGTCCATCCTGTCAGCTCAGATGTTTGAATACTCCCTTTGTTATCAAAAGAAATGCCTTCTTTACGCCTCCCACATCACCGTGCAGTGAAGGTGAGCTGCTGATTGTGGATGCTGAGATGTAGTCGACTCAGACTGGAGTAAATGTGAAGGCTTTTCTGTGAACATGACTCGAACCACACTAAACAAAAAAAAAAAGGGAATGGTGGGAAAATGAGAGGAAGTACAGTCAGAGCCATTACCAGTGAATGCACCACGTTTGTATCATGTCTCCCATTAACACTCAAAGTGAAAACACATTTGTATTTCTGCTGAGTCGATTGTTTCAGCCCCCATACTTACTCCACCATCAGCTCTGTCGTTGGCTCCACAAATCAAAAGCAGCTCCACTTCCTGTTTCCGCCTGGAGCTGCCCCCTGATTGGTTCGTGCTGTTTTTGGTTATCGTTGCTTGACTGGAGCTCAGACGAGACGCTGCTGCCACGTACCCCGGCTCTCTCACAGCATTGTGTATCCTCTGCTTCAAACACTCAATAATCCCGTGTTTTTGAAGGCAACAGTCTTCAGTTTTACACAGCTTTGCTTTCCACTGCACATTGTCCTCCTCTGTTTTGTGAACTCTACCCTCCATTGTCTCTGCTCAGTCACAATGGAGTCAGCACTTTCTCAAGGCCTGTGTGTGAGTGCTGCATGTGCACACAAGTCCTTTTAAAGATGCTGCCGCTGCACTTTTTTTTTAACCACTCATGCAGCTTGAATGCAAAACATTCAAACTTGCAATGCATGCAGCAGCACAACATTTGCAAGAATTGCAAGATCTTTCTCTGGACTTTTCTTTTTCCGCGTTGTTTACATCATTCCTCAGGCTCAAACTTAAGTATAATCTATATTTTGTTTTGCTACTTACACAAAGCACTTGTACTTCAAGGTTTAATAAACAATGTGGGCTGTGTGAGATATTGTCTTGTTATAAACGCTAAAGGATAACTTTGCAGATTGTAGATGTCAGGGTAGAAGTTGTTCCAGATAAACTGTATGTTTACATTAGCAGGAATGGTGTCACACTGGGCCTGCTGCTGTAGTAGATCACATCAAATTAAAATGTATGTGTGGGAAACACTACGGGAATTCTGTATCGCTGAGTGTTCACATGTGTGTCTTATTTATTCATTCACTGTCATAGGATTCCACTGATGTGATTTTTTTGGGGCTGATACAGATATCAATAATAGGAATATATATATAATGAAAAAAAGATGCTTCCTCAAAAGGAGATTAACTGTGCATGTATGTTTGACTCTCTGGAGAGTGATAATGCTGATAATGCTCATATAGCGCCCTCTGCTGGTGAAAGAGAACTGCTAGTTTAATACAATGAAACTCAAATGAAATGCTTTTCAACTGGTGAATAAATCGAGTAATATCGGAGATGAAATTAGCGATATCGATTGTCACTTGATGTGCTAATATTGGTGGATAATATCAATTGGCTGATTGATCGATCAGGCTCTATGATGTTATGGATGTGTGACCTCCTCCGCCCACATAAAGCTCAAGTCAAATCCAATTCACAAAACCGGTTGAATTACTGAAAACACAAAATGGCAGAAAACAAAAAAGCCAAAAGTACAGTTTGTTGAAGCATGAGGTTTGTGTTTTGTGTGTGACGGTGTTCATCTCTCTCCTTCTCCTCCAGGAGTTTACGAGGAGTACAACAGCACACCAGCAGGTATGAACGGTACGGGTCCCTCTAAACTGGTGGACCCACTGGAAGACCCGCTGCCCGGACTGGGCACCTACGAGGACTTCAACACCATCGACTGGGTCCGAGAGAAGAGCAAGGACAGAGACAGACACAGAGAGGTACGACAGATACGGGACGATGTGACCCAAACCAATACTGAGGAGGAAAACAAGTCTGATACAGATATATCGGCCGATATCTTTCTCAGATCTGACTTAATGTTAAACACAATGAAACTTAAATGAGGTGACTAAATCTAGTAATATCGGTGTATATCTGCTGTAAAATGAGCCGATACTGATAGTCACTTGATAAGCTCATATCGGCCGATATTATCGTCTGGCTGATAAATCGGTCGAGCTCAAGTATGAAGGCTAAAGTCCTTAAGAAAGATTTGTGTTTCAGCAGGAGTTTAGAGACATGAAGTAACATTAATGTGATGGTTATATGATATAGGAAATGAAACAATCTTCTATGATTGCTGTCACTTTCTAAAATGGAATTGTTTCTGTGTCTGTGCAGATCACAAATAAGAGCCGGCAGTCGACGGTGGCTCTGCTGCACAGCGTCAGTGATGCCTTCTCCGGGTGGCTGCTCATGCTGCTGGTGGGACTCATGTCAGGTACTGATCTATATTAACTGTGTTTTCTGACTGCTCTCCTTCATTTTGTCTCATCTACATCTAGTGGGAGTTTAAAATCATCAAGAGAACGATCAGAGACACAGACAGACATGATCCTCTTTTTTTTTTTTTTTTTATCTTTGTCTGTTTACATTCTCTTCGTCCTGAACTCATCTCTCTCCCCCCTCCTCCCTCTCTCTCTCTATCTCGACCAGGCGCTCTGGCCGGTGGCATCGACATCGCCGCCCACTGGCTGACGGACATGAAGGACGGCGTGTGCCTCATCGGCTTCTGGTTCAACCACGAGCACTGCTGCTGGACGTCCAACGAGACCACGTTCCAGGAGAGGGACCGCTGTCCACAGTGGCAGAGCTGGGGCGAGCTCATAACGGGGACATCAGACGTAAGAGACACCTCTGCTGCAGCGCTTCAAAAGCACTTAAACCCACACAGAGAATATGTCTTACATAGAGGAAGTGAAGCTTTGTTTGTTAGAGGGAAGTCTGGACTACAAATGTCAACTTCCTGACTACAAATGTGCACAAGAAGCATGAAAATTAAGAACATTCATGACATGACTCGGCACTGTCAGCTGAAGCCTGATGGTTTAGCTCCATCTAGTGGTTGTAAGATGTCATAACACAGCAGAGCCAGGAGGCCAGATGGATGATCAACCTGTGTGTGTGTGTGTGTGTGTGTGTCTGTGTGTGTGTGTGTGTGTTGTGTGTGTCTGTGTGTGTCTGTGTGTTCCTGCAGGGTGCGTTTGCCTACATCATGAACTACCTGATGTACATCTTCTGGGCTCTGCTCTTCTCCTTCCTGGCCGTCACGCTGGTCAGGGCCTTCGCTCCTTACGCGTGCGGCTCAGGAATACCAGAGGTAAAAAGCCCTGCTTTCTTTTTTATATGTAATACTCCAACCTGTTTTATTCATGGACATCATTAACACAGGAGCTACAGTATCCCCACTGACATTCTCCTGACATTCTGTGTCTGAGGAAGTAAAACGCTCAACATTTGTTTACACGATGAAAAGACGAGTGCAAAAAAAAAAAAAAAGCCAACGCAGCAGACACTGATTCATATTTACAGAGACACAGCTCCTCCTTGAGTACATAAACTCTCTAACTGTCTTAGAAGTCGGATCCGGTCTCGCCGCTGAGAGGGTCAGACGCTATCAACCAGCCCACGCACTCCAGATTAACGGCTTCTTTAGAAGGAGAACATCTCCACTCTTCATTTTGTATAAATGTTTACACTCGCCTATTCTCTCGGCTACACGCTCACACATGGGCGGCTCCCTCGCTGACATAAACACATTATCACAAATGCGTCCTCATCGTCTCAACACACACTAATCCAAACAACCTTTGCCCCTCTCCCCTCCCTCTCTCTCTTGTCTCTGTCAGATTAAAACCATCCTGAGCGGCTTCATCATCCGCGGCTACCTGGGGAAGTGGACGCTCATCATTAAGACCATCACGCTGGTGCTGGCCGTCTCCTCGGG